GTTGTTGGGGGCAATATGCTGACTCTGTAAACCGCTTAGAGAGGGCTGAAAGCCCTATGAAGCGGTATATAAGTCTAACTGCTATTGCTAAAATCTCTCTCCATCTTTCCCATGTGCTCTTCCTTCCACATGGGAGGGAAATGTTATTTATTTGAAACCGGCAAGCGAACTCTTCCTTTCCCACCTCTGCTGGCAAATGCTCACTTTGTCCATAATGGTATAATTGGCACCGTTATTCATTTATCCCATTATTTCACTCTTCCTTGGGAGGGTGCTCTGACCGAGGCTTCCCCAAAAAGCAGGAGGCAGATTCCTGGTCCCCACAAAACCCCTTTTATTAAATGAATGTGAATTCCTCTCATTCGCATTCAGCAAAGGCCTGGCAAACAGTCTTTCAAAGGAATATTTAGGACTGCAGACCAGGGCTGGGCTACTCCTGGTTTGGCCTGAATCGGGCGAACCAATAGTAGTGGCGGCGGGAGGCTCCGCCCACCCGCTCAGACGCTTCTGTGCATGCGCAGAAGGGTCGTGTGTGGGAGCGTGGCAAAACAGATAGTAAAAAAATTGGCAACGCACCACTGCTACAAGACCTTATCTATCTTGAACAGCTGCCATGTCAATATTTTCCAAAGGAGGCGCTGTGCCAGGAAAGGCTGGGCACAGAGTCTCTGAGATTCACGGACAGATCTTCACACTCCTGAAACGAATCCAATGACCAAATGAATTGTTTCCTGCAAAAGCTCCCTCCCCTTTTGCTCCTCTTTTATTTCCTCTGGGAGGGGCCATTCATTGTCCACCTGTGGCTTTACTCCCAAGTCGACCCCGGTTCTTTAGCCGTTCCCTTCCTCTGACAGCTCTGCAAATGCGCACACTGGGAACAGGCTCCAGCTGTTCCTCTGCTTCACTGCTGTCTAGCTCCGAAGGCAGCTGGGAACTGCCAGACGGTCTGGGCCCCGTCTCTGCCTCCGACGCAGAGCCCTCATCAGAGCCTTCCCCAGCCTCCAGGACTGGCCCCTGATCCTCCCCAACCTCCTCACTGTCCGAATCTGCTGCCAGCTCTGCTGGCCATTGGCGGGCCACAACAGAGGGAAGGTTTTGCCATGAAGGGTGAATCTCGGGCACCAGGCTTGGCAGCTTTTTATTTTTCTCTGCCGAACACTCCGACTTCTGAGGAGCTGAAAGGTTCTTTCAAAGCCCCCCAACTAGAGGCCAGATCCACACAGCCTGTATTTGGTTACCCTGAGCAGTTCGGCAGCAAGGAGCCGGCCCGTCCTATTCTCCCTTAACCTTCCACTTTCCTTCTGCAGGGTTCTCAGCGCCAAGATAACCTCGCCTGCCGAACTGGAGCTGGTTTGCGCCCTGCTTCTCCTCTGGCAAGCCGCCTGCAAAGGGAACGGTAATCTGCACCCGTCCCTCCTCCCCCAGGGGTGGGTGGGTGGGGGGTCTGTGGGCTAATTTCTTTCGAGGGAGGAGGGCAGCCCTTCGGGGCACAAGTCATACTGAGACATCCGATCGAAAGAGTGACAGGTCAAAGATCCTGGGGGCTCAGGCAACATTGGTAGCAAACCTGTGGATTGCTCCACACACCGCCTTCTTATATGGGTGGCAAATCGCTCTCCTTAGCATCCCATTAACTCCGATAGCTCCTGGAGGCTGCGCAACTCGGCCTCTGTGTGTGAGAGAGAGAGGGAGAGAGGGAGGTGGTTTGGACTGGTTCGGCCGAGTAGGTAGTCACTTAGCCGGACACGGCTCCACAGTGGTACTATCGGTGGCACCATAGGCAGGCCCATGAGAGCCGAGGTGGCGCAGTGGTTAGAGTGCTGTACTGCAGCCACTTCAGCTGACTGCTATCTGCAGTTCGGCGCTTCAAATCTCACCGGCTCAAAGGTTGACTCAACCTTCCATCCTTCCGAGGTGGGTGAAATGAGGACCCGGA